GTGCAACCCTGTTTCTCTCATCTCTTGTTTACTTTTCAAATTTTCATGTCATATTTTTAGTCTTTATTAATACTGAGACCAGCATTTTAGCAAATGGCTAATATTAGCTGATATATGTAGGTGTAAATAAACCCCTAGTACTACTGCAGAACTGTATATTCAACCTTTACATAGAAATATTCAATTGTGCTCACTAGTATTTTACCTGTTGGTTCTCTAGTGTTCCCTGAACGATCTCCACTTGGACGCAGCACCCAGTAGAGCCAGCAGTGGCTTGTCCCGCTGTATTTGGGCCAGATGCATTTGGCTGGAGTTCGGTACTTGTCCCTCGAAGAATTCTGTCACACGCATCCCGCATGGCCTTCACCACCTCTACTTTCTTATCTATCAGGATGATTTTGCTCAGACTTCGACCTCCCTGACTGCCAAACTCTTTAACAGCAGTTGCAATAGCCTCAGCGCACACAGTAAGAGGAACACAGAACAAACCTGAGCTGATACAGGGCATGGCTATGGATGTAAACTTCTTCATTTCTGCTAAATTCAGAGCAGAGCTGACAGTCTTTTCCAGTAGCATTCTCTCTTTGCCACCACATTTTCCATTAACAGGCCCAACTGCATGCAGCAGTTTCTTGCATTTCAGGTTTCCGCCGGTGGTCAGTACCACATCACCTGTAGGGATTTTTCCAGTTTTCTTCACCATGTCTCTGCACTCTATCTGCACCTGAGGACCACCTGCTTTACTCAGTGCGGCAGCCACACCACCACCATGTTCCAGATCTTCATTAGCAGCATTCACCAGAGCATCAGCCCATTGTGTGGTGATGTCACCCTGACAGACCAACACCTGGAGCCCATCGCAAAGGTTGTATTTGGTAACTCCTGAATTTTGTCTACTAACATGATTCTGTTCTTCAAGCTGTATGAGACACTTGTAGGATTGACCAACACTTACGAGAGTATTTCTTCCAGCGAGACCTTCAAAAAACCTTACTGCCCCTGGCATGCTAATGCTGACTCTGTCCCTAACAAGGGACTGAAGAAGTGGACCCAGCTTATTCCTAAACTCAGTCACTTTTCCTGATGGGCCTTCCAGTAGCACCACTGGTCTAGAGGAAGATGTTAAAGGACGTAAGGTAACCTCTGAAGAGTCACACTTAAACAGCTGCAACAGGTCTGGTAAGAGTTCTAGCAACTCTGGGAAAGGGAGAGCGACATGTCCTTCTACACTTGCCTGGTCCAAAATAAACTGTGTGACAATGTCGCTCAGCTCTTCAACCTCTTTGCTGTGGCCCACTAAGTACACAATGCTGTCTGAGGTAAACACAACTTGAGCCCTACACTGCCCTTGATTCATCTTATTTGTCTTGGAATTAAGTTTTTCCCGAAGCTCCAGTGGCACAATGGAGCAGTTCGGAACTTCAAACCTGACATCCTTGAATTTTTCTTGCAGGTTTTTTTCCGCATCATCAAGTTTACCAGCTGAGAGTGCAAAGAAAAGTAGCTCTGTGTCTCTTAACTCTATTTCCACCTTGTCACCGACACCTAAAAAATCACCTAGCACCCTTGGCCCTCCATATACCTTTCTGAGGAAGCTGAAAAAATGCGGGCTCTTGTCAGAAACTGTGCGATCTAACACCAATTTCTCCTTATCGGATACTAGCTGTCCAGCCTTAAGAATCTCCTCCACAGAACCTGCCAAAGTCAGCTGACCTTCGTCACCCTGTGTGGCTTTCACCTCTGGAAAATGTTCTCCCAAACCTTGCTCAATCTCTCTCCAGAGGAGACGGAGTTTGGCCTCACCCAGTCGACGAATACTGTTTTGCTTCTCACTCTCACCTGATGCTGATCCAAGTTTACCTCTTATGCCCTTGACTTCCAATAACTTGGCGTTCACCTTAGACTGTCTCCCAACCACCACTGTCAACCCAAGCTCGCTGTACACCTTCACCTCATCTGTTGTCTTTGGAGAGTTCAAGGACTGGAGCAAAGCTTTGACATTGCGAGGATCCACCTCATAGTGGGACAGGTAGCCATCAAAAACCTTGTCTACCTCAGCTTTCCAGTTAACATCTGCAGCACATGGTTGATCTCTGCTGACTAAAACCTTATCTGGGAACAGCTGAGCACTGCAGCCCACAGAGAAAAGCTCTGTCTCCAGTTCTTTTCCAGCCTTTGGACATTCACTTAAGTAACGGAGGAGATAGCTATCGATAGTTGGTTCGTATTCTTCACCACTGAGTGTCAGGCTTGATGCAGGAGATGACTGATTCTGCAGAAAGATATGCCAAATAATGGTTGTTAATAATAAAAAGATATATTTCCACATTTTACCTTCATTAAGAGTTTTAATTTGTTTAAGTCTTAAAGATTAATATTATTTGAGGTTTTCAAGACTGGAAAAATACACTAAACCATCTTCTGTTCTTTCACAATGGTTGCTTGGGGTGATATGTAATTCCAATCCATTACAATAGTGTCACTTTATGTTTCTTTTATGTTTTATGTTATTTTCAGAGTTTATTATGACAGCAGCTCTGCTGTTTACCCCTTGTGGAATCTCATTCCTTTGTGTGTATATATATTTATGGGGTCTTTGTTTCTGTGACTCTGTCGTCATAAGTCGTCTTTTCACACTTGCTTCTGGGTGTCTTTGCGCCATTCTTGCAACAAGACAAACAACAAGCTCATGTTGCTTATCTATGCTTAACCTCTGCATCATTTTGTTTTTACTCATTTTGCAAGTTTTATACAGCTGGGTTGTCTTTTTTAATCAACAAACAAACTTTTTCAGTGTCTAACCAACAAAAAGAATTGATCACTTTCTTTTTTCCTTTGTTTTCAGTTATATAGTGTTGCCTTTCCAGAGCAATAACACATTACAGAGCTGACCTGTGAAGAGCTTACATCCAGTTTGGGGCTAACTGGCTGGCCTGGAGACGAGGAGGATGTGGGAGAAGAGACGGGAGGTCCTGGGCTGTCTCTCACAGTCAGAACCAGAGTACAATCTGGAAAGTTGAACTCATGCTGAGATCTTTGCAGGACTCTTTGTTGAGCTGAAACAGAAAAGAAGACATTGTCTTTAAAGCCCAGCTTTTATTTATTTATTTTTTACCGCTACATTCTGATTGCATATGAAATGTGTGTTAACATGAGATACCCAGTCAGCGGCATGCTAACAGACTCACTCTTTCCGTTACAGATGAATCTATGTGTATAAACGTGATTAGCACAGGTGGTGACATTTGCTTTTGTTACTGCACGTAAACCTTTCAGTTTCAAGGATTTTCACTTGACTTGAGTACAGCAAAGAACAGGGTGCCACTGCATGCTTCTATTTCACTACCTTTATAACAGGAATGATATTTCATATACACAATGGAGAAAACATGATGCTTCAAAATAATTCAGTTATTCTGGAGCGTAGAGCTAAAAAATAAGAAGTTTCAGCTTCTCAGTCATGAGGGTTTCAAGGATCTGTTTTTGGACCCTCGGCAGCTGCATCAGTTGGATAAGTCCCCAGATCACGTGGTGTGCCGTTTTCTTACTTTCCCCGGAGAAGCTTGTCACGTGGTTGTTGTAGGGCCCGTACCACATCTGCTTTACTTTTAATTAGAATGACAGCTCGTTTGTTTGCTCTTTTTTCAGTAGGCTAATGTTCTTTCTTGGAGTTTTAGTTGTAATTATTCTAATATCTTTACGCAGAGTTTGGATGTTTTTTCTTTCAATATAACAAGCGACGATTACGTCTTACTGGTTTGTGACACTGGCCCTAAACAAAAAGAGTGAAAGTGAAACTATGCTCTCTTGTTTTTCTAAATGGCCACAGTGACGCAGTGACAGATACTTTAAAAAAATGTACTTTAAAAAATAAATACACAGTAAAAATACTCTGTCGTATTCAAACTGTTCACATTCATTAAAACATACAAAAAATGATGGACAATAATCGATTAATATAAACTGTTTTCATGCTTACTTTCACTTTCCATACTTTCATTTTCATGCCATCAAAATAGTTTTCACATTAAGAGATCAAAAAAGACTCTTATTCAAATCAGTTCACTTGACTTACCATCTCGCTCCTTAAACGCGACGCTGTAAACTTTGTCGTTCACGTCCGTCACCGAGCCGCACTCACCGCCGCCCGATTTGCGACGAATATGGAAATAGTTTTCTATCCTCTTCCTTT